GGTTTTCAGCTCGCCAGTGACTTTACGACTATACCCGGTTGTGAGAATGATAATGATATTGACCTTCCAGTTCCTTCTTGTCTTTGTGCTGACTTTCATTGTCTACTAATCTAGCAGACATTATTCCTTGTGAGAAAACTTCTGTTGAAATCTGTATCAGCAAGCTTTTGGTTCTTAATTATTAGATACTAGCAGCATGGCCCGGCGTTGCCCGTGCTTGATTCAAAAATCGTACGACTCATACAGCAATCGCTATCACTTGACTTAAAATATTTTTGCCCTTCCTTGCTTTTAAAGGAGTGCCCTTTGCCGGGCTGATGTTGCTACATGCCTTACTTCTTGCTTATCTCACACTGCGAAATTTTTTCTAAGCTCTATACTAAACATTAAATCTGTTACGAAAAAAGAACTAAACAAAATGAACACAAAACGATCAGCTTTAAAAACAAAGGACTCGTAACTGGAAAAACCGAATGAAAAAAGAATGTTAACAACAAATACATTTTCACACCCAACCCTGTTCGTGGCAGCCAGCTATAGGCTCTCACTCTGGCCAGTAGAAAATGGCCGCAAACTACATGAAAACTCGATTATTTCCACTATCGATGGGATTTGGGAAATGCAAAGTCGGTCATGGCCTCACCCTCTAACTTGGAGCATGCGCATGTAAATTTTGGTGCAAATCCGTCGAAAATTGCGGCCGTGCATTCGTTACACATACACACACATAGATCCTGCCTTTTATAGATAAAGATATTTAAAAAAAAAATCAGAAACTGAATCTTCCTTGGTATGACGATGAACTACATCCGGCAGCAATGTCACTGATCAGGAGTTTGAAGGGTTTGAGGAGCGTAGGACCATCTCTTAACTGCTGTTGTTCCCAAATTAACAGCACATTTTTTTAAATAATAAAATGAGCAACAATACATTTTTATAGCAAGATGACAATCAATGCAACGCTAAAAAATATAAAAATACATTTTTATAGCAAAATTACCAACAGTAAATTTTATGATCTACAAATCATATATCTAAAAATCATACATTTGTTCTGAAAATTAGTTGAAAGCATAAAATTGCATACAAAATATTTAAACAAAATCAACCAAGCAACAATACATATTCATAGTAAAATTGCCAACCATTTTATCTGTAGTCGAAGGCGTATAATTGCGATCAAAATATTTAGATTTCGGTATTAAATAACCCATAAAAGTGTTGATATGCCGCTAAACAATATCAACCAATCAACCTAAAATGAGAACATTTAGTTAAATGTTGGATAATTTTGAGCTGGATAAATTATCTAATGTCATGTTGTCCGGTATCTTCCCATCTCCTAGTTGAATGCTGGGATTTTTAATTTGTACAGAACTCTATTGATTTGTTATTTGATTATTGTTTATCTGGTTGGTTGATTGTCGTAATTGACCCGATTTGAATTTAGACAGAAACTACTTTTGGCGAAGTTATCGTTTAGTTTTTCTAGCTTTTTCGAAAGTTAATAATTCCATTTTTTTTCAAATGCATAACCAATTAAAGAACTGAGTAAATTTCAAAGACTTCTAAGATTTTTCCCCTCTCTGTGCAAACATTGGCACTAGGAATTTTTGCAATGTCATTATATATATATATATATATATATATATATATATATATATATATATATATATATATATATCCGGTGTGATGAGAACGAAATTAATATATAATTTCCAACGTTCATACCTGTTGTGTATGATACACCTAATTTACATAAGTGGAGTACCGACCATATAAATATGGGTTGGTACCGGAAGACGACGGAAGATTAAGAGATCGAATCCAGAGACTCTGCCCGACTGCGACTTAGTCAACCCATTCTGCAGGAACAGTCTTCCCAAGAATATACCAAAACTACCTGTAAATATTGTGTACCTTTTTTTCATTGTTTCAATACATTTTGTTACGTACATTTTGTGTTGTATTATTATTATTCCATGCTTATTCAAGCTTCAACAATACCATTAATCCAAAATAGGGCTCGAAAAAGGAAGTGACGTTTCACATACGGCTTGCCTACAAGCAGGATTGTTCATAACCATTTTCGATTCTCACCTGTCGAAGTGCAGTTGAAATGCACTGAATCGAAGTTGCATCTTTGTAGTGAGTAATTTTTTTGTCTATATGATAAAATTATAATAAATGATATATATATATATACACACGAGGCTAAATAAAAAAAATATCCACATTTCATCATACTACCTTCTTTAGGTTTGTCATACTGCCTTCTACTCATGCATGCTTATAATTGGTACTATTCTGGTTCCGTGATCAAAGTTTGAGCTTGATCGTGCCAATTTTATTGTTGCTCTTACAGTGTAAACACGCCCGCCCCGCTAGCAGTGTGCATCAAGTAGGAACAAAGAGCGGTGATCCGATTTCTCTGGTCGGAATATGTGTCAGGGTTTGAAATTGATCGGGGGTCTTTTAACACAACACGGTGAAAGTGCACTACCGTGTAGAAGAGTGTATGGGTGGATCGAGAAGTTTAAAAGTGACTGAACAAGCGTGACGCACAAAAAAAGCAGCAGGACCTTCAACCTCCAACACAGAGGAGAAGATTCAACAAGCCCGAGAGATGCGACAGCATGTTTTCTGCAGATTAGTCACGGTTCTGCCTATCAATTCACCCAAGACGAGCTCGGCTTACACAAAATCTGTGCGAAATGGATATCAAGAGAAATTACCGTAGAGTACATGCTAAAAAATGTTGAGGTCTGCCAACGTTTATTTGATCTCTACAACAATGAAGGTGAAGAATTTTTTAGCAGAATAGTCACAAGGTAAAAGGTACGTGGGTCCATCACTATGAGCCAGAATTTAAAAGCTGGTATATCTTTTATTGACTAAAAGTTTCTAATGCTTTCTATGCTAAAGTTGTTGGCTCTACTTAGTGTGACAGCCATTATTCATTGTTTTAAACCCTTTGTTAAAACCTGTATATTTTTACTCGGGCTTCTTAATAATTTATCTTTTATGCCTTTTTTTCTTAATCCCGGTATCAAATTTGGATAATTTTGTCCTTGGTATTTTTTCTCTAGACTTGTTGACCGATATCTTTCCATGTACATCCGCGTCCTGGGTAAGAAGATAAATTACATCCGACAGCAAGTCCTCTGATCAGGAGGTTTTGATAAACGTGGAACCACTTCTTAACTGCTGGTGTTTCCAGATCCACCCTGACCTGGGGTGGTAGCACCTGTTAGGGTCCCAGCTATGGGCAAATAGTTAACCCCCGAACTGGGCCAAAACTTTTAAAAATAGGTTTTAATAACAGCAAAACATTTTTGTAAAAAATTATCACCAATAATACATTATTAACAACAATACTCTTTTGGAATAAAACTCTTGCCAGCAATAAAAATCTTGTTGGCAAATCTTGTTTACAGAATATCAACCATTGAGGTTGATATGCTGTAAAACAAACCAAACCAATTTGAAGGTTTGTTGTTTGGATTGGAGTCTTTTGTTATTATTTATCCGATTCGAATTTAGGAAGAATCTTATTGTGAAGTTTTTCTAGCTCGTTCGAATTATTTTTAATCCAATTCACCCCAAAGAAAGCAGTAAAGCCACAAAGACATAAGGGGGTTAGTGGGTGCGGAAAAATTAGAAAACAGAAACATTACTCAGGAGCGAGAACAAAAGAAGAGTAATCAGGAGGACCGCAGATAGCGATCGACATTGCATTTACATTTTTGAAGATTAAAGTTGGTTTTGAAGCATGGAGCCAGAAGAAAGTTCTGCAAACAAGAAGTGTGAGAAAAAAAAACTGGTAAACTTACGGTTACATCTAGCCAACATAATTGTAAATTGATGAGACCTTATTGCCAATCTAGTACTGCGCTTAAATTCATAAAGCCTATCTGATATAGAGAAGAGCTTATCCGTACAATTACCATGAAAATATTTATAGAAATGGTACAGGGAAATGGATAACAGGCCAATAGTTGAAATGGTCGGACGGTTCATTTGAGTTCTTAAAAACTGGAACAACAGATGAGGATTTCGAACATACAGGAAAACAAAAGATAGCGAGGCATTTATTATACAGTTTAGAGAGAACGAGAGCCAATTCAGAAGCACACTAAGTCGATCCTAAAAAGGTTCGTCGTACAAAACGTTAGGAACTTGATATAATAGTTATCCGGATTAGAGATGATAGCAAAAACCATAGAAGGTGTTATATGCACATCACTCAATATTTAAGTTAATATTTTGTTTAAGATACCTAATTGCACAAGCAGTTAAAGAACTGGATTAATTTCAAAGACTTAGAGTCTTCGCAACGCTGTGCAAACTAGGAATTTTTAAATCAAGTTACAAAACTGAACTTTATTGCGCTTTACAGGTACACGGGTTTAAAAACGTCAATCGATAAATGGTGTTCATTTACCCACTGCTTATTGACTCAGGAATTTCATTCTTTCTGGTTGGGAGCTTAACTGGATATGCAACAAGTACCCAGCAATATATAAATAACCTTTATTTGAATCCCATTTAGCGATTGTTATTAATGAATGGTGTTGGCAATCGTTTCAAATCGAAAATAATTCCCAGACGGATTGGTGGCAGAAGGTTTATTGATGATTACGCGTGTTACACATTGTAAAATCAATCAGTCGCTTCATAAATCGAACTCAATACTTTCAACTGAAAATAGTTATTATTTTTATCCAGTCATTGACAATGGGTGAGATTTTTTTTTTTTTAACTAAATTTAAATTTGGCGGGAAATACATAAATATTTAGCGGGAAATAGAAAACGAGAAAAAATTAATGCAGAATCTTATTATAGAAATATATATCTAAATGGCGCAGGATTCGCGTCTATCAGGGTGGCTAGCTAATCCCTATTACAGACGCATGCCCAGGCACGTTTATGATTGTTCAACACTCACAGAACCCACCTGTGGTTTATACAGCAACTGCGTTGATCAGATCTTAGTTACAGTTTCTGAGAGAGAGAGAGAGAGAGAGAGAGAGAGAGAGAGAGAGAGAGAGAAAGAGAGAGAGAGAGAAAAGAAAGAGAGAGAGAGAGAGAGAGCGTTATCTAACGTGGTTAACAGCCTGAACAAGGCTAGCACGCTCAAACCGTCGGTCGCGAAGACTTGTGACTACGTGCTAGCACCACTACCGACGGCTCCCCAAGGGTTATTATCAACAATCGTCTGAGCCATATTTTGCCACTCCTTTAGCAATGTTTCTTTAAGGGTTGCCACTGACGTAATTTTGGTTGCACGCTTTCGAAGTCTTTGGTCAAGGTGCTCCCAAATGTGCTCTATTGGATTCTTGTCATTATTTTGGGCTCCCCATGGCAGTGACTTGATTCCTTGCGATTCCTTCCTACTTTGCTCGATGACATGGCGATCCATCTTCTTGAAAAAGGTAGACATTCTTGTCAATCTGATTCGTTTCAAATAGTGGGAGTAGTCCTTTCTCTCATATTTGACAGTATTTTGAACCATTCAACCGCTCGTCAACAAGAATCAGCTCAGATTTTCATCCAAACCAGTCAGCACCCCACGCCATTACTCCAATAACTCCATGTTTCAAGGTCGCCTGTAGACATTTAGTGTTCCAAATCTCATTCTGATTTCTCCAAACATAAACCAATCTCGAATTGGAATATTGGCAGAATTTACTTTCATCTGACCAGACTGCAAACTGCCAAAACTCATAATCTTTGCTCTCGAATTCCCTCGCCCAGTCCATACGAAGGATCCTGTTAACCTCTGAAATCAAGGGCTTCTTTCTTGCAACTCTTCTTTGATAGCCTAGCTCTTTCAGAGTCTTTCTCACCACATATGGCGACATTTCCATGCTGTTGGCGACATCTTTGTTGCTCTGACGTCGGTTTCTGATGACTTCCCTCTTCAGTGCCCTTTTCGTTTGCTCAGACATGATGCTTGGTATTTCTGAATGTTGTTCCACACGTCAGTGGCCATCTTCATTAAATTTCTTGACACTATTATTAACCGTTTGATGATTAACGTGGAGAAACCTAGGAATTTCTCTATTTGACTTGCCACACTGATGCCATCTTATTATTTGCCCTTGTTGAAATTCACGAACTTTCATTGCAACAACTATTGTTTATAGATTAGAGTAGCTTGATACTAATATGGTATTGTCTGAAAAAGGAGACGTTATTAAACAAGTCAAAATTACTGTAATCAAGGCTGGCTAAAAACATCATAGCCCACTGTAAATACTATAAGCTGTAAGGAGAAAACTCTCTTCTTCTTCTTTATGTGCCGTGTTCCTCAGGACATAGTGATCATGACTCTCCACAACTTCTTTTCTTTGTAGCTCTTAATAACCTTTGTATTTCTGGGTTTTTTTTCGTATGTCCCTATTTATTTCTATTTTTTTCGTATGTCCCTATTCACATAAATACAGTAGTTAATACTGTATGTTGGTCTGCAGTTACAGATTTATTGTGGAATTCACTTGACTCACTTCTAGTAGTTGACTACTTCTATGCGCCGCTGGCGAATCTTATATGTGTTGTTCTTGTCCTAAGTATTATCGTTTATTAGCAAACTTCATGTGATTATTTTATTCAGTAACCTTCCCTAGGTTACAAAATTTTCCAACATATTTCGGTAAAACTTTCACTTTTTGAAATTATAGTTTCGATATATGGGGGTGTGGAAGGAGGATATGGGATCTAATCTGAAGTGCCAAAAACTTTGACAGCAAGCCACAATGTCCCTTTTGTAGAAAAAGACTAAGCCAGATAACGCTCGAAAAACACAATAGGTAAAGAAGTAATGTAACTGTGACTACAGGTATGTAACGTCGGGAGACTTTAACGCCTTTTACAGGGAAATGACTGATGATGCCAGAAAAAGAGGGAACTCCGTGGTATCGAATGCTGTAGGCTTTTCTAGAACAACATAAGCAATGGTATAAACAGGAAGGTATGAATTCCGGACAGACATTGGTGATAGGTGAAAGTTTAAGCTAAATAGTATATTCATGGAAGACAATGAGACTTTACATTCTACAAAATTGTCCACTTTACCAAGAAAGGTTTCAAAGATAGCAGCCCCTTTTGATATTAATTCTATAGAAGAATGTGTGGCCTATCATTAAAAGATATACACAACAGGCAAAAAGTTTGGGGACACCCTGCTTTTCTTTACTTAACATAAAAGATAAAATTTCAATAACTACAGCGTATTTGCTTTTATTTTAGCAAAAATAATCACTTAACTATAAAGCATTGTCATAAAACAGCATCATATTTTGTTTTGTTTTTTCAATAAAACCACCACCTGCCTTAATGACTGCTTTACAAATTCTTGGAATTCTTTCCAACAGTTTAAAAAAAAAGCAGATGGAAGACCTTCCCAAGTATTCTTCAAGCACTGAAAAAGCTCACTCTCAGTCTTTGGGTATTCTCTTCCAACTTTCCTATTCAATTCATCCCATACTAATTCATTGGGTCAGAGTTCAAGCGATTGAGGCGGCCAAGTCATAATATACAAATTTTTGTTCCATTTTTTTTATTCGGGGTAATTTTGACCTAACTTAGAAGAGCGTTTTGGATCGTCGTCTTGTTGAAAAGTGAATTTATTTCCAGTTACACAGAAACCAGATGGTATATCATGTCTTTGCAAAATCGAATGATCTTGTTCTTTTTTCATGATTCCCTTGACCTAAATCAAATCTCCAGCTCTTTTGGCAAGCTGAAAATGTTTAATAAGGTGTTATGGTGAACGCATTTTCTAATGATTCTTATGCAAAATATTTATAATTTAGTAAAATGTATTGTGGAGAGACGAATAATTTTTTGGTAGTAAGAGGAGACTGAAGAAAGACTGAAAAATAAAAGCAAATTCCCTGTAACTACTGAAATTTTATCTTTTACTTTAAACAAATACAAAAGTATATCACTTTAAGGTGTTTTTAAAGAAATGATGATGGTCCATTTTTTTTTAGTGTGTTTGGGAATGGAAAGTATTCTCTGAAAGAAGATCTCTCGTAAGCAATAGAAATATGGCCAGTAATGTTAAAATCAAAACGAGTGAAAAAAATCAATAAATGAATGATTGACGAAGGTTATATGCCAAACGGTTCATATCAATATATAAAGTAATCATTTATTCATGTATTTTGAATATTGTGCTTAATCAATTGTTTCAACAACTTCCATCTTTTAAGTCTATTTATAAATAAACGTTTGGCTGCACTTTTAAAGCTCGCTACTCCAAAACAATTTATAAGTATTTTTAATATGGATAGATATAGTAACGCGTGACTAACACAATATATTGCATATGTAACTATAAGTATTCTCTAATCGTTTGAAATTTTAATAGGTTGGTTAATACTAATTTTATTACGGAAGCATTGAGTTATAAAAATTTCCATAATATACATTTAGTTTTAGTATAATTCTCATTACCTTTTTATTATTCTCTTTTACGATTTCTTCTTCAACAACTTCAATTATTGTTTCATTTTTTCTTCCTCTTAACAAAACGACCCAACAGATAATATTTTTTGACTATTTTTATAGTTATCAGATAGGAAGCCATTTTGTTTGAAGACACAACATGTCGGTCATAAACAAAGACAAAACAATGGCTACTGATTAAAAGACGTAGAAAATCCGTCCTTTCAATAGTAAAATTACGGGGGAGGTTGATTACAGCCTTTTACGTAATTTCCAAGTACGTAATCGTTTATTTAATCTAATTCTTTAAAAAAAAAGTCGCTTAATCAGTAATTTCCTATTCAAAGTAGAAAATGCAAAATATTTCGACGATACCCTTAGCTGAAAATCTTGTATCACCTTGTTACTTAAAAAAGAGATTTTATGTTCGGTCAATTATTTAGACAATTGGTTAAACACAAGCATAAATTGCTAGCTTAAATGACAACCTCTAATTTCAAACGCCGCTTGTTGCTAATTGCCAGAGTACAGTCAGTTAGTTCTTGTTTTAATCATTTCGCTCTAAGCAAGGCGATAAAGCCACTAATACTCAAAGCGAGTGAAAGAAAGTGAGGATACGTTGAAGAGAAAGAGAACATTATAAATCCGGGATTCAAGGACATAAAAGATGATGATTGATATTGCATTTAAATTTTTGTAAATCGTAGTTGAAAAGAAAGCAAGACGATGGAAGAGAGTTCCATCGGCTGGAAGTACGAGAGAAGAAACTATTAGAATAAGATTTACAGTTACACTTAGAAATTTAAACACTAAAATGATGAGACCTAACTGCCAATCTTGTGAGGAAAGCTAATCAGAATAAATATCATGAAAATAGTTATAGAAAAGACACAAGAAAATTACAATGAGGCGGTGGGAAAGTGGCTGGAGCTGGGATGCCAAGTCAGGGCTGATTATATTGCAGATTCTTCTTTGGATTCTGCCAAGGATTTCTAGATGCATTAAAAATATATTTAAGGAAGTGTGCACAAGGTTTTCTGTGTCGTGCAAGAAATTTTTTCAGGTCTGAGTCCAGCCTTCAAATCTATAAATCAACCATCCGCACTTGCATGGAATATTGCTGTCATATATGGTCTAGTGCCCCCGCTGTACGTCTCGAGGTCCTCGGCAAAATCTAGAGACGAATATGCAATGTGATAGGTCCTGATCTGGCATCTCGTCTACAGTCGCTTTGATGGCTGTTTGCTTTCCCCTGTCTCTTCTATAAGTATTTTCACGGCAACTGTTCCGACGAGCTACTTTCGCTAGTTCCCGGACTGCATGAATTTAAGCGATCTACCCGGACTGCATGAATTTAAGCGATCTACCAGGCTGGCATCTCGGTCCCACCCTTTCAAAACAGTTAAATGTAACCATCTACTCAAACAGCTTCTTATCCCGCACATCCCATGTGTGGGGCTCCCTTCTCCTTACTTGCTTCCCCGATGACTATAATCATCAAATATTCAAGTGTAATGTCAATCGACATTTGACACCTTGAGCTTGTTCATCGTCCTTCTCTGTATCCTTTCCCCAAACATGCTTCTTTTGTTCTCTACTGCCTGTAATCCCTTGCGTGCTAGTGGCACTCTTGCCTTGCTTGGGGT